CGGGCGACCTACCCTTGCTCAAACAGAGAGAATGAACGTGTTGCATGTCACATGCACGTCCCAACACATAGGTCGCCATGCCCTCCGGGCGACCTTGTAGGTCGCCATGCACTCCGGGCGACCTACCCTCGCTCGGCTTCCCTCGGATTCCCTCGCATAGCTCGCTCGGTTGCCCTCGCATAGCTCGTTCGGATGGCCTCGGATGCTCTCGGATGGCCTCGGATGCTCTCGGATGGCCTCGGTCGGATGGCCTCGGATGCCCAGCGTGTTGGGACGTGCATGCACATACAATCTCTTGTAGCTCGCCGGGAAGACATGGCGACCTAGTAGGTCGCCCGGAAGGCATGACGACCTACGGCCAACACTGTGGATTTCACCTTATTTGAGCAATTAATCTTGGGAGTGCTTTATCTCGTGAATTAATTTTTTCCATAACATTATCTCGAAAGTTTTGCCTGTAGTAAGCCTAATACAATATTCCATTCAAATCTTTCTTTTGCATCCAGTGCAGATGACAAGTTCACTGTAATAGAACTCCTCTCGTCAATGGCTGAACCAATGCCTTGCATTGCCTCTCCCATTTCATCTAGCCAAAATAATGAACAGTTAGATAAAAGAACAAACGTGAATAACCCCTCCATAGAAAAATCGGCTGCAACCTTACGTCTTTTTCCTTTTTTGATGTTATAGGGCTCAGTAGCTTCTGAGTTAGCAGTGAGCAGCCAGTGATGGAAAAAATAGAAATAGGTGTCCAAAATGTGGATGTTAGGAAACTCATTAATGTCGTGAGGGATGAATTGGTAGGAGAAACATGACGAGTCCAGTGACCCTTGAGTCATCAAGTTGATCTGAGCCTCTAAGTTGTAAATCAAATGTTTCAAATCATTCAGGCGAAACATATTCACCAGAGCCCGCAAAGCCCTGCTCTCTCTGACGAAAGAGGAGACACCAGCAAAGGAAACTTTGGATATAAAGTCTTTCAGGCAAGGGGCAGAGGCACTTGAAGGGCTTCTTGAATTATCAGCAGAGTTACTGCAACATAACAGATTGGAAGAGCTGTCGATTGTTTTGAAGCCTTTATGGAAAGCTAAGGTGTCCCTGAGGGAGACAGCTATCTGGTTAGCCAAGAGTCTGAAAGGACTGATGATCGAGGATAGTGGACGGACTTCATGAATTCTTCTTCTTCTTCTTCACGAGGTAAGCTTTGATTTACTTGTGGTCGACATTATAGCTTCTCATTCACCACCGAATGCTTATCTTCTTTCACTTCCATTTGGTTTTCTAAAACATAAAACAAGTAGGTATTGTCTCTTTTTTTCACCTCATCCTATATAATTCTTTCAATGCATGTTGTTGCACATAGTTCACAATACCGTGATTATAAATTAGAGAAGCTCTTTTTTCAATAACATTGTTGAATAGTTAACTTTTTAAATTGAAATTAGTATATCCACCATCAATGATAATAATTAATCATTTAATAATTCGATCATCGAAATAATGAATTTTAAATTGTCTTCTCCGTCGATTTGTGCCTTTTTTCCTTCTCAATGAAGAAATTTCTGAGGAATTTCACCAAATCATCCAATGATTTCCCAATGTCCAAAATTTTCAGTAAAAAACAAATCTCTTTTCATTAGCTTCAATTTAAACGAAGCGAAAGAAGAAGGAAGTTCTTAGGAAAAAAAACTCGTCGTAATTATTATATAGCAGTAGCTGTTAAATTTTAATTAGAAAAAATTTTAATAACCCAAATCCGCCTTTCCATATTCATATTCTTCGTCACTTGTTTATATGTCGTACTCCGTCCCCAGCTCCCCGATTTCTCTATAAAATCCCTTTCCCTTTCCGATTTCAACGCCGCCGGTCAGCTCGTCAACGCTACGTGCAACGCGCAGATCCACGTCTCGAATCCCAACGATAAGATTTTCGTGTCATATAGAGAAGTCGTTTCATCGGTTTTCCACAAGGACTACTTGAGGAGACGCGAGTCGGGCCGTGTCGTTCGTGCAGGGAACGCGCAGCGCGAGCTCGATGGGGCAAGCTCTTCGCTGGTGGATTTTTCGTGGACGGGAAGGTGGTGGATGAGATGAACGAGGAGAGAAGTGGTGGCCAGATGAAGTTCAACTTGAAGATGGTAGATGATTTGGTGTTCCGATACCGTGGATTGAGGGGTCGGCGGAGGTTTCTTACGGTTTGGTTCGACCATGTTGCTATTACAACTTCGTCGGGGAAGATGACCTGTGGCTCCCAAAGGTGCAGCGTTTATTGAGATTAATGCAAGTTCAAATTTCTGTTTTTTTTTCATTAAATTATTACATTAATTTAAACTTTTTCTCTTATACATGATTGTGTTCTATTTTTTTATTATAAATTTCTCATATTATTATCCAAGAAGCAGTAGGAATTTTCACTGCTACAACCAATACAATCAGCAAAAAAAAACCCAGCAACAATCTCCTAGGAGATGTTAATCCCCTAAGCTAAACAAAGATTACTGTTAACTACACTACTCTTTATGACTATTCGAATTGATTTTACCCTAATAACCTCTTTAATACAATTTACCACATTATCAACATCTCTACTAACAATCCTAAATTGCCTATGATTTCTCTCCTCCCATATAAAGTATACATATGAACACCAAGAAGAATAAAATGTAAGGAAAGTTTTACTTTTGAACCGAGAGATTGCCCAATTCAATTCCTCATCACAACTCCCCACTATTCTGTCAACATTACACAGCCGATTGATCACCTCCCATACAACCTTCGAGAATGAGCATTTAAAAAAGATATGGTTGTGAGTCTAACCCACAACTCCACACAGTCTACACTTTTCATCCACCCCAATTCTCATTCGAACAAGGTTATCAGCAGTTGGCAATCTTTCAAGGATAGACATCCAAGCAATGAGTGAGTGCTTGGGAATGTGCATGGGAAACCAGACAATCTTATGCCATTCCACGTTCTCTTTCCTCCCCCTGATCTCCTACCACATCCAACGAGTGTTAACTTTATCCCAATCCATGATTCTTGAGAACAGAGGTTGCACTTCCTCCCTTACTTTCAAAATTTTCTGCATACTCTAGCTGAAAGAAGACTTGATTTCAATAGACCAGAAATCAACTCCTTTAAAAACATATGATCTCACCCAAACAACCCAAAGTAAGCCCTCTGCTATAAGTAGTTCTTTGACCAGTAGCAAAACACAAGCTTTATTCCAGCATTTTAATTGCTTTAGGTATAACAAAATAATTTGGATTTTTTATATCAACAAACCTAAATTTGTTTAATTTGAATTTAACTGTGATAAATTTTTAATGAGACACAAAATAGGGCAGACTGTCGTGAGACATTATCTACAAACGTTAAATCGTGCATCTAAAATTAATATGATAATCTATAAAAGAAAAGATTAATAAAATTATAAATAAACATAAGTTGTAGCGTCATCGAATGGAGAAAAAACAAAAACATACTGTTGAACACACGAACGTAGAGGTGGCTTCCATCATTGGTTAAAAGAGGGGGCCCAAAAGAATAATAAACGAACGAACAAATGAAGTAAATGTGTTTTTATGAGTTATTTTCTATGTTCTTTTAGTCATCGTATCGTTCTTTGACTTGTCCTCTAAGGTATTAAAAAGATGTAGCCGACGAAATCCGATTCCTTCCATGTATTGGATAATGTCACCACTTAATACTCCCTTCCAGAATTAATCATATGATATTAAAGCATAAGTTACGTTTTGTTGTTATTACCGTCTAATATTTCTTTTTGTTTCATTTTAGTATCTCGTATAAATTTTAACGTTAAGTTTTAAAAAAAATAAAAGTATGTGTAATAAAACGGACAAAAACTGATAGTTTATGTATTAAACGAGTTAAATTTTTAACGATAGACGCTAAAATGAAACAAAAACTAAATTTTATACATGGTTTTGGAAAAAAATTAAAATATTAAAACAAATCAAAATTAATAATTTAAATACTAAATGTGTGGTTTATCCTATGTCTAAATATTCACACAAGAACATTCAATTGATATGAGAATCGTGTTATAGATGTTCTTTAAATTGGAAATACGAGTGGAAGAACAATCTCACTTAGTTCATATATCTATCAAATATATTATATTTGATAATTGTATTTATTGAATCAATATCAAATGCTTAAAAGTAAAATATGAATTACATATAAAATTTTATCATAATTTAAAATAAATTAGATTATTTAACATATTATTTTTAGGCTATTAAATATATACAAAACATTTTGTGCGAGGTTAGATAAATGTAAGTGTTAAATGTAGAATGTCTAACAAATATAATATCAAATTGGTCTAAAAACAAAAATATAGCATTTATAAAAATAACAAATGACTAAACAAATATATTTATAAATAAATAATAAATTTAGATACAAATGATATATTAATCTGGAATTTTTAAGGGTGAATTATGCATTTAGTACCTAAATTATTGATTTTGGTCCATTTTTAGTACCTAAAATTTTATATATTTTTTAAAATCATACCTAAAATTTAGTTTTTGTTTCATTTTAATATCACTGCTCAAAATTCAACATTATGTTTTGAAAAATTGAAAGTTTAAGTTCTAAAACGGACCAAAATTGATAGTTTAAGTACTAAACGCGTAAAGTTTTTTAACGGTAGGACACTAAAATGAAATAAAAATTAAAATTTAGTTATGAGCTTGAAATAAATAAAAAATTAGATACTAAAATAGATAAAAACAGATAATTTAAATACTAAATGTGTATTTTATTCTAAATGAATTATGATATGGCCCATAGTAAAGAAAGACAAAAATGAGGGTAATTTACTTAAAATTTGGGCTCTAAGGAACATAGGCAGCCCAGCCAAGTTTAATAATTTTGTACGGACTCCAACCACCATTCGGCTTCCAGACCCATTGTCCCCAGCCGCCTTATCCCTCCTTTCCTGCCTTTGCCTCATTTCTTATTTACATTGTTATTTTCTGTAATTTTCTGGGTTTAGCTTAGACTCGCATAGGTATATATGGAGGATTGATTTGAGCAAGGCAATCCAAAACAAGAATGGAGTCGATTCATGCTAGCAATCGAATCTCACCCTGTATCAGTGGTCCCAACCCAAGAAAACCCCAGTTCTTGCCCCATTATCCCTTTCTTGTCTGCTTCAATCATAAGCTTCCGGTCACCAATTCCTTGAAATTGATCGCCTCTTCATCACCATGTCGGCAACGGTTTGCTCCTTTATCAAACCACAACAGATATGTATCGGTTTCGAAATGCCGGCGTGGGAACACCCTTTGCAGACTCGAAGGCGAAGATAAGCCGGCTGGAGGCAATGAGGTAAGAAGATTATAAAGCTGTGGTGCTTTCGTTTGAATTTTCACAGTAGAAGGGATTGATAGCTTGGTATTTTGCATTTGTTTATTATATAATTCGCTGCTGGATAAAGAAAACTGTGTACTTCCTATCCGGTTATTGTTGCTGTCTAAGGGTTCCTTTTAGGATTCACTCGTAGTTTCTTCCCTTTGATTTTAGGGTGTCTTTGGAATTTATTTGACAACTCGAAGACTAGGCCTTAAGTTGAATTGCTTTAACTGGAGGTGATATGAGGGAAGCATGGAGTTCTAGACAGGGACGGAGCCTGGATCGAATATCGGAAGGGGGCTAATTACTGATTTTCGAAAATACAAGGGCTTATTAAGTATTTAAATCTAAATTGGGGGGGGGGACAAGGGCTAATTTGTCTAATATTTGAACTTATAGGACCTAAATTTTCATTAGAAATCCTGCTCATCAATAGAGGAAATGGTTGAGAGAAAGCTAAATTGTCACAAATTTGGGATCTGTAATACAGTTATAATACTCAAGGAACCTGATCGAATATGGTATTGTTGTTGGCAGGATTCACCGTGGAAAGCTATTGAGAAAGCTGTAGGAAACTTTGGAAAGCAACAATCGATCGAAGATGTGTTGAGGAAGCAGATGGAGAAGCAAGAATATGCTTCTGAAGGCGGTGGCAAAAATCCGCCAGGTGGTGGAGGTGGCGGTGGTGGTGAGGATGAATTTGGTGGATCAGAGGATGAAAGCCTCTCTGGGATCTTGGATGAGACCCTGCAAATGGTTTTAGCAACCATTGGCTTCATATTCCTGGTAAAAAAGTTTTTCCTTTCGTCTTCGTTTATTTTGGCTCTTCGATCTCACTGTTTTTTCCAACAAATCCAATGGATGGCTTCATCACAACATAAAAGAGGCAAAACTAGTCATTTTGGATAAGAAATTTAACCAGGGTTATAAAGGTAACCGACAGTCGGTCGATCTAAAAGAAACATTTTTGACCCAGAAATGTACGGATCTCATCCGAAAATCATCACAAGTCAGCTGATTAGCCTTTAAAAACAGCTTCGATTTCTTATTCAAAATGACTAGTTTTGGCCTTATGCAGGTATCACTTAGATAAATCACAACTTTTCTGATAGGAAGGACGAGAGGAGATTTTGTTTTATTACGAATACATCGTTTCCGTGTATGCACTATGTAGTTCTGAAATAATAGTTATAAACAACCTTGTAACTGCGATATTTCGAACTTAGCATGATAAAATGAAATTCAGTTTTTACAACCGATCCTTTGAATGCTACAGATAAAAAGAAAATATACTGTTCTCGCACGGTCGATAATACAGTGGATTATCATACGTGCATATGAATTAGTGAAAGTATAGTCCTGTAAATGGTGTCTTATCCCAATGTATTTCTGAAATTTGTGGCTTTATGGAACTTGCTACAGTATGTATACATCTTGACCGGTGAGGAAATCGCTCGGCTGGCAAAGGATTACCTCAAGTACCTCTTCGGCGGAAACAAAAGCGTTCGATTAAGGCGTGCCATGTACCAGTGGAGAGCTTTCTTTGCGAAGCTGACTGAGAAGAAGGAATACGATCAGTTTTGGTTGGAAAAGGCTATCATCACTACTCCGACATGGTACGACAGCCCCGACAAGTACCGAGAGATCCTCAATTCTTACATCGAATATGAGGAAGACGATGACGACAATCGTAATGACTACGACGATGATGCAAATGGATCATATTATGATGAATAATTCCGAGTTGTCTTTCGGTCTATGTTCTTTAAAGATGTTGGTGTAACTGAAACCAATTTTTGACATTATGTGTAACACCCCAATTTAGGGGCTAAAATTAAGAAATTATAAAGTGGTGGATTTAATTGGTATTTAGAAGAAATTTGGGGATTAAATTGTCAGATTTCAAAGATGGCAGACCGTTTTAAGAAATGCATGAAGTTTAGTGGCTAAAGTCATGATTTAACCAATTTTTATATAGGTTGAATTATAAGTTCAGGTTCAGCGGAAAATTTTCCAGTTTTCCTCTCCCGTTCTCCCTACTTCGAACTCCGATCTACTCGCCGCCCGACCTCCGATCGACGAGCCGAAACCACCATCGTGTTCGTTGTCAACCGAGGAACAAAACCCCTCAAACCTTTCATCGTGAATCATCTCCGTTCGTCGTTAATTTCAGTCGGAAGTATCGTCGGTAATAACTCGGTTTTAGTTGGTTTTTCATCGATTCACAACGATCGGGTCATCCGTTTACGACACCTCCCGCACCATCGTGTTCCTTGTGCCGTTCCGAGTCCACCGGTGTCCTCCCTTTTCTCCGGCGGCGGCGGCGCGTGTGGAGGTGAAGAGGTTAAAGTTTCCGATTTGTTGAAATCGAGCTCTCCGCCGTTCAAAATTGTGAACCGAGCTTTGTAAGTATCTCGAAATCGCTCAAAATAATTTTTAGAAATTTTTCCGAGATTTTATCACTGTTCACGCGCCCCCACGCGCCGCCACTGCGCGTGGGGAAGACAAAAGTGACCGGTTTGACCGGTTTTAGTGGATAGTTGACCGGTTTGACCGGTCATAACCCGACCCGACCCGACCCGTTTACCCGACCCGTTTACCTGACCAGTTGACCCGACCCGACCCGACCCGACCCGTTGACCGTTGACCCACGTTGACCGTTGTTGACCAAAACTTTGACCGGCTTTGATCGAGCATTAAACGACCTTTGACTTCGACCGAGTATACCTATCCTGACATTTTTCGACGTTCCAAATCCGATTCCGCTGTCCGTTTTTCGAAATTCAAACCCGAAGACCTTTAAATTGCCGGTCAAACCCGTTGACTTTGATTTTGACCGAATATTCCAAATTTCCGAAAAGTCATATTTTATGCTTTCGACGTCCTGAATCCGAATCCGAAGTCCGTTTCGTCAAATTCGAACCCGGTAAGCCGTCTTTCACTGATTTATCACCCAATTCGATCCGTTTATCGTAATTAAGCTTCGTTTCTGATATAATTTATGTTGATATGTATCTGAGGAATTATTGGAAGTTGAATTGAAGATCAAAGGCGTTCGAATGGAATTTTTATGGTCGATCGGTATTGCACGGAAATCGAGGTAATACTTTACTACCTCTTTATGCTTTATGAAACATGTTGATATTGGTAAATGCATGGATAAGATAATGTTGGTCACTTTTGTGGAGTTGAATAATTTATACACTCGATATGAATGTGGTAGAAATTCAGTAACTGAATATGGATCGAATGACTAATATAAGAGATTGAAAGATTGTTAGAATTAAATTACAAGTTGTGATTTGTGATAAAGAAATTGGCCATGGATTTGTAAATTATATTTATATCATCAAAGGTTAAATGTTAAAGGTACTTGGATGAGAAATTATGAGAATACTCCGGTAGGGTAAAATTCTGAAAATACCCTTATATTGTAAGATGACAAGAATTGTCCTTGGAAGTTGGTTAATAACTTTGAAAAGATATATTGATTCGGTAAAATTTCATATGTGCATAAGAAATGCTAGTTTTGCTTAGGAAATACGGATAACCGGTTTTTAAACCCGAGGGTTTGTGCAAGATACTAGAAGTCGGTTAAAGAATCATTTTAAGATCAAGAATGTTTGGGAAAGCAATTAATATAGGATCTCCAAATTATATTATTTTTGTTAAGAGTTAATACCGAAATTATCTGGTTAAGAAATTACGAAAATGCCCTTGAGAGGTAAAATAGTCCAAGTTGACTCTGAATGAGAGAGTAACCTGAGAATTTGTTTTTAAATCGATAAATTACTGATTTGGTTGTTGAGATCCTACCTTTGTATGGAAAATTTTCTGAAAATTCGTTAGTAACATTTGAAAAGACATTTAACCTGGAAATTACCGAATTGAGTAAATACCTGAAGAATGATTTATCGAATGTGTTATTTGGTCAGAATTGTTTGAAAGGACTGAAGTAAGTGATAAGATTAAATTAAATAATAAGATCAGACGTAAGGAAATGATGGAAATACATTGGATCTGTAAAATGACCAAAATACCCCTGGAATGGAAATGACTCAAGAATGTCACCAAGCTCATGAATGAATGGATACTCAAAGCTTTGTAATGAATATAAAAACGTTGAGAACCAAAATGCCCTTATGACCTAGAATAAGTAAATGTCTTGGATTAATTAAGAAATCCAAATAAACATGGATGTTGTGCTACCAGTAAAAGTTATGGAACGCAACTTAAGTGATCAACCAACGCTAGTGCTATATCATTACCTGAATGATATAATTACCACTTGAATGTTTGTTCGTCTTCTCAAATTTGGATCGATGATAATTCTGGAAGTACTTGGTTCAGCTCAACTTTAGAGTGCATACAGTACTAATAAGTGGGTATTCGTGAGATAAATCAACCACGAATACCAGAATGACTTTATTATATGACTAAATTGAATTGAAAGGGAGTGCAACATGTATTTGAGATTCAGAAATGTCTGAACTATTCTGGAAAACTCTAAAGTAATCGGGATAAACTTGCTTACTAAATGAACTAAGTAACCTCAATGACCGAGGATTAAATAGGTGATTGGATGAGTTTGGAAACATTGTATGAATTGTCCTTATGGGTTATGAACATGAATCAAGTACGTCCATATTTTCTGATATCGTTGAAACATGGAAATGTAATAAAGACCGTTGGAAGATCTATTCAGCGATAATTATGGGGATGATCTATTGATATGCATTTGGTATTAAAGAGTGAATGCATTGGAAGGATAATGAATTGATTTGTTGACATGCATCAGTCTGTGAGTTGTGTAACTTGAGTTGTTTGATAATACTATCGATAGTCATAGATCGTAAATGACTTGAATCTTCGATTACATATTTTGATCTAAAATCAATTCGGTCATGTTTGAAAACGCAAGTAACGCAGAAGGAAAATATTCTGAATACCTCATTTGGTACAATTGGGCTGAAATCCTATGAATTCAAAGTATATTCCTGAATACCCCTGATTGTTTGGGTAATGGAATCACTCGCAGTAAATCTGAATTTAGAATTATTATGTAAAAAGGTTCCTGAACGTTTTCCTGATGCACATGGAAACTTAGTGGAATTCTAAAGTATCAATCAGAAATGTCTGATTATATCGGTTAGAAATCGATTCTCTTCAATGAGATCTTATTCCTGGAATCTGATCAAATTGCACAAGTTCGTGTTATCTATATTGATAACTACAAAATGCGTCTGAAAAATATATGGATTCTCTAGTGTGTTCCTTATATTTTGAAAATAATTGTTTTATTGTTTTAACATGTGGTACACTGAAATCTATGGTTTCTGTTTATGGATGCACCGACTTAACGGTGATGGCTTATGGATTTGTATCATTGTATAAACTGTATCTTGGAGATACATATTGTAAAGTACAGCTCTGATCAAGCTGGAAAATTTTATGGACCTAATGTGACACTTAGGTAGGCTCTGCGGCCCTGAGATCATTCTCGGGTAGGCCCTGCGGCCCTAAGATGTGTTCTTAGGTAGGCCCCACGGCCCCGAAATCTATCTTGGGTAGGCTCTCAGGCCCTAAGATGTTCCCTTAGGTTAATTCTTTGTAAGATGGTTTTAAAATACGAGTTTAAAAGCTCCACTACAATATGGTTTATGGGATTTTACTGAACTATCATTTGATTAGTGTACCTATTATGATTTTATCGTATTGATGAAACACACTAGACATCCTATTTGACCTCATGAAAACGTGATTGTATGAAAGGTTTCTTATGAACTGAGATTCATGGCTTCTACTCGATGAACTTCTAAGGGAACCCCAAATTATTCTACAAGCTGGTATACATATGATTCAATAAGGAAATTATATGGCTTTCTATTTATCTACATGTCATGTAGCATCATCTGGTAGTTCTGTATTACTGAGCTTTCCAAAGCTCATTCTATTACTCACCTTTTCAGGTTAAAACAATTGTACCAGTGCATCTATCGACTTCAGTAAGGGAGTTCTTCCGGCGTGGTTGCAGAGTATGGTACTTGTGATTAGGGGGCATGTAATTGTATTTTGATTTTTATACGAGTTTGGAAATCTGTTTTATTTTTAAATAGTGATAAATGATTTTATAAGTTTACATGTTCTGATAAAAATTTTTAAAATTTCCGCTATTTTTACGGTGGGTCGCTCCGGTGACCCTAATGTGACTTCCCGGATCGGATCGGGATACCCGCATCGGTCTGGGGGGTTACATTTAGTGGTATCAGAGCTATGGTTTGATTCAAAATTTTTCGAGATAGACCGGCCGGTCGAATGTCAAAATATGTCTGATCAATACATGCCCCTAGACTGCAATCGTACCTCTCTGAGCTGGAACTCCAGGGCTGAGCCCCTATCTGTAATGAACAAACTGAAGTTTCTATCTGTTAAGGCTATACTTGTACAAAAAGGAATTCCAGTAACATCTGTCTTAACGCAGTAAAGTACCTTAGCTATGTGAGAGTTATTCATCTGAGAAATTCTGACTCGACTCCAGAAATAAAATTTGGATATGTTATAACTCTATAAACCTATTCTCATAACAAAGGCTAAATTGATTCCACAAGGATAAATTTTTTTCTGATTCTTTTATTGGAATGAGGAAAAGTTCTGATAAGAATGTATACTCAACTGATTAAGGATTAGTGAAGGATCTGTGTTTCTATAAAAGCTACTTGAAAGATATGAAAGAACTGATGGAAGTTTCATTTCTGCAATTATGTGACATTAATGAATTT